GTCTTCCCATATCCCAAACATCACAGGCTCTCATCAATTCTGCAATGACCTCCAGGAGGGATTTCCGATCAGTTTCTTGCACATATATGAGCGTGATGTGACGTCGTCAAGCTTAAACCCTCCTTATTTGCCCAAGGGGGGGTTATGGAGAATCATTTGATGATAATAAACCAATACCTGAGTGAAGTTTCTTCCACATTTGAGTCTACATAACACAGTATAGAACAGCTTCTTCACCCAAGTGTTTCCCATGGCAATTATCATGCGCAAGACGACCAGGGTCAGACAACTCTGGCATTTCAAGTTCATCATAGGAAATTGAGATGACTTCCACATCTACCTGATGCCTAATGAATTACAACACTACGGCGTTGAGAGGCAGCCAAGTGTCTCATGGGGTGTTCGTTGAGGGCCGGCGTTAACATGGTGGTTGTTGACTTTATGCATTCGTCAGATGGGGGCGGGGAGGGGGTGGTGTTTGGGCTGGTGACGGCGGTGGCGGTGTTGTTGGAGGCTGGGAACGGGGCGAATTTCAGCCTGCTGCCGCATGTGCATCCGCGGGCGAACGGGGTGCTAGCGGGGCTGACGGGGGCGGCGGGGAATCTTGGGGGGGTGTTGTTCGCGGTGGTGTTTCGGTTTATGGAGGGGGGGACCGGGTATGCAAAGGGGTTTTGGGTGATCGGGGTGGTGCATTTGGTGGTGTACGCTGCCGTGTGTTGGATCCCGCCTTTGCCGAGGGGCCAGGTGGACAGGCAATGAAAGGGGCTTGAGGTGTATGAGGTTTGTTGCTTTTCTTTGTGTGGTTTGTTTATTCTGTGATGAATCATTGCATGGCGACTCGGGCTACCCATTGCTTTGGAGTCTCAAGTTGGGTATGAAACGGAGTTTGGTACGTACAGGGAAAAGGAACCACCCCCCTCTGGCTGGATAAAGGCGCGGCCTATGGTATAGAATTCACGGAAAAGTTTGATGTAGTATAGTCAGTATGAATCAATGAGTGATAAGGTAGTTTACGATCCAGAGGACACAATTAGTGCACTCTTCGTCTTGATCCATAATGCTGTCAAGGCAACCTAAAGTTTTTGTTACTTCGCTACCTAACATCTCATACGGAGATGTTAGCGGAGCCGCTAAACTATCTCAATATCATAGTCGGAATAATACTAGCCCTAGGCTGCGTGCCTAACTACCGAGATCACGCTTAACCATTCCATAGCTCGTCACCCTTCTCATCTTCGCTAAACACCTGGCAACTTCGAAAACCCCTGATCCGCTTCAATTCGAGGCCAGATATCCCCAATCCTATTCCTGACAAAGTTCCTGAGGAGGTCCGGGTTGTCGACGCCCAGTCTATCAACCGTATCTGTCTCCCACTTGTAAGGCGACGGCACGCTCGCGAACCGAGAGCCCTGGGCTCGCTTGTACTGGGCCCAAAACTTGTAAAAGCTGTCTCTCGAGGCTTCATTTTTCCCCTTGAAAACCGAATCAAAGAAGTCGTTGAAAGCGGACAGGTGCATCGGCTCGACCGGGTTGCCAGACCCGTGGAGGAGAATGACGGTCGGAGGAAAGCCCACGCGACCCAAGGCAGGTTCGGGTCGGAGGGGGTTCGTGTTGGATTGGTCACCGCCTTCGTGAGCGCCTTCTTTCCTCTGACCGAAGACGTAGCTCACATAACGTAACTTCCCACTGTTCCACTCCCCCGATTTATCAAGCCCGTCCCTCGTCTGTAAACACGGCCGGATGTACCTATCAGAGACCTGTCAGTTTTGCCTCGGGCTAGGCAGTACCGTGCATCGCACATACCAGCTGAGGCCCAGGTAAAAGGCTAATGCAACAGGGATATCAGGATAATCCAAGGGCGCAAGAGGGACGACGGCCTGGTGGAAGTCGTTCCCCACGCCCATCACGTTGGTGGTTCCGTCGGATGGATTGTGGATCAATAATCCACTGATGGTCTTGCCAAAGTAGAGCTTGGGATTGGTAATGCAAAAGCCATCGCAACGCTCGAGGAATCGGGTAATGCTGTGGAAATCGCGCGGGGTGATGTCCTTGACCAGGAGATGGGCCGGTGTACCCGGGAAGCAAGAGTTGTCGTCGGCGGTAATCATTACAGGACCAAACCAGGGGCTGGCATGAGGGAGGCATCAAGTGTCAGCTACCTTAAACGGCGTTCAGACAAGCAAGAAAGGGATTCTTTCTTCGGAAAAAAAAGTACGCACCGCAAATAGCCAGGCTTGGTCAGCGCGTTGATACTTTGGTTCAGGACTCTGGGGTCCTTGATGTCGTCTGCGCTCTTGGAGGCAACGAAGGTCGTCGCCACAAACAAGTGCCCGATAGGCCTACGTTTGATATTAGTGCCCTGTATCTTCTTCAACTGTTGACTCGAGTGGCGCATAAACTAACCGTCCCTCGAGGACCTGTGCGTACTCGGCAAACTTTTGGCCATCGCCCCTCTCTGGAATTTGGGCTCCAATCAGGTTGTAAAACTGCGTGATATCCTCGTGCTCAATCTCGATCCACCCCTGGTCCTGAGATATCCCGCGGTAAGCCGCCCAGCAGATCTCGGGCTTGGTTCTGAAGGCCGGGAAAAAGAGCACACGGTGATGCTGGGGACTCGGTCTTTTGTCGTCAGCCACAGGGCCACCGAAGTCAGAGCAGACCTTCGTGTGGATGGGGAAGTCGAGAACTTGGCACTCCCTTGAGCAGTACGAAGCAGACTTGTTGCAGCGAGGACAGTATTTCTCTGCCTTCTTGTTGCACACAATACACAGCTTGCTCAGATCACCCAAATGTTTGCATCGCGCAAGGTCCGCCGCCACCCAGGAGTTTAAGTCATCCGGGCGGCCCCGGACCTCGGCCTCATAGTTGGGGTTACTGCTTCTGGGCAACAGAGCCAATGAGCTGGCGGTGATCTCTGTGGCCGTGGTCTTCGTGGCGGTGATATCCATAGCAGGGGGAATCTCCTCTTCGGCCTTCCTTGCTTTCCTCCTCTCTTTTTTGTGCTTATTCTTCTCTCTTTGCTTGTCTTTTTTTGACAGCGCGAGCTTGCCCGACCTATTTTCCGCTGCCATTCCCAGTTGGGGCTCAGTAGCTTCTGGGGCGTTGTCGTCAGCATGCTGCAACTCCGTCGGGGGATTGATTGAGGTACTTCCGGGTTGGGCTTCGGCATCCTCGAGGGGGTCTTCATCAATACGCTGTAACCTCCTCGGAGGAGGGTCTGTGCTGGTTTCAGATTGGTCTTCGGCAATTTTGAGGACCTCTTCGGTAGGCACGAGGGAGTTTTCGCAAAGATACTGCAGCACCATCAGAGCAGTGGCTGCGTTGGCTTCGCGTTGGGCCGCGACAGTCCCAGCCGCGGAACTGGGAATTTCCCTCGTGCTTGACGTAACCTCGGCACTCGAGGCCATCTGGTCCTGCATTTCTCCGAGCGTCGTGGCGGCCCCCCGAAGCATCTTCGCCGCAAAAATGAGAAGATCCCCTTTCATTCCCAGAACAGTGGCACTGGACCTGACCATGTTTTGCAACTGGCCGAACTTCGCCGCGAGTTCTTGAAAAGCAGTGCCGATGTCTGTCTTAGGAGGGGCTTGCTGGTTGTCAGAGCTATTGGGGACAACTTTAGCTATAAATCTGGTCTGAATCGCTTTGAGCATCATGGCCGTCCCCTCTAGGAGCTCATAATCTGTTTCGATTGGAGCCTCATCGACCAGCTTTTTGTGAGCCTCCACCAGCGCGGCAATTTGCGACTTGCGAGTACTCTCGGAGCTGAGTCCAGACGTCTCACCAACTTGATCCTTGGACCTCTCCATTCTGAAAAGATCTGATGGAGGGCTGACTTGTGATGTGGATGGGAGTCGAGCGAGGGAACGAATGCCGAGATAAGGAGAGAGAGAAATGATGCTGAAAATCCTAGATGAAGACGGCTGCGGGCTTGCTTCAGACTCGCCTCTAAGTAACAAAGATGGGTTGTAGGGCTCATTTTGCAGGGAGAAGTCTGGGCAAGGAATCCAAGATACCTAGATGGGTAGGATCGCAGCCGTGGCTTCCCCAATTGCTGGTACTACGGCTGCCATTCCTGCAGCTGTGTATGGCATGTACCACCGGCAAACACACAGTCACAAGCGCACCCTTACCTAGGTAGGTACCTAGGTTTGTACTACTGCTGCCGAGGTGAAGCCCTCACCACCGTAAGGAATTTGATTTGTGTTGCTGTCGACACCTTATTTACACATTCATAGTCGGGCTTTCTCCAATCCTGCAGTGATGAATGGTTGGCGTAAGTTTTATAATCTAATCAAGTCACTTTGTGTATGCCCATGCCCTTAGAGCTTGATGTTTTCTAAAAGTAGAGAGAAGGGGGAAAGGGGGAAGGGGAAAATGGGAAAAGGGGAAAGGGGGTGGCGCTACAAAGTAAACAAAGAGGACATCCTGGCTCCAACATCGCAATGTTGCAGACTGCGAGTATGAATATAGTTTCCTATTGAGAGATACACTTTGCAAGCAGTATCTTTGTAATTTCTTTTTTTAATATATCGTTTGATGTTGACTTCGTTGTCGGGTGAGTGGAGGCTGTGGTTGTGGCTGGTGAGCGAGTTGGAAGAACACCAGGATGGGTGGGGGCTTCGTGGGCTGCCCCACATTAGCTTTTCTTATCGATAACGTTCCGTCCTGATTTTCTTGCGTGGCACTGCGCATCCCATCGACGATACCGAGTTACTTGGTTATATTGTCCGTCTTGTCGCGTTGGAAACCGCCAATTGTCAATCCTCATTGTCACATTTTCCGCAAAGATGCTGCGCCAAATGTAAGTCTTGTTTTTATCCACATTAAAACCACCACACCCAAATTCTAACCTCAACCTAAACAGAAAACCCCGGAATGCTCGCTCCAAGCGGGCTCTCGAGAAGCGGGCGCCCAAGGCCGTCGAGAACCCCAAGTCGGCCCTCTTCCTTCGCGGCACTTCCTGCAGCCAAATTGTAGGTCGCCATATACCGTTTTGATATCAGAAGTGGTTAGTGTGCTAACCCCCGAGCCTCACAGATCCAAGATGCCCTCGCCGACCTGTATGCATTGAGGCAGGACAACGCCAAGCGCTTTCAGAAGAAGAATCCCAGTATGCGCCGCCACTCCAATCGACCGATCAACCAAGGAAACGAGTCGCTGACGATTCCTCTTTATCATAGTCCACCCCTTTGAAGATGCCAGCTCGTTAGCCTTCTTCTCGGAAAAGAACGACTGCAGCCTGCTCCTGTTCGGCAGCAGCAGCAAGAAGCGCCCGCACAGCATCACCTTCACCCGCACCTTCGATTACAAGATCTTCGACATGCTCGAGTTCTATCTTGACGGCGAGACCTTCCGGAGCATAGCCCAGTTCAAGACCGAGAAGGTGCCCGTCGGCACGCGGCCGCTGATGGTGTTTGCCGGGACAGCCTTGTACGCCCCTTCTCACCCCTTTCCCTCCCTTTTCGCAACCCGCGTCGGCACACTAACACGCGCCGACCCCCACAGTGAATCCCCCGTCCCCAACGCCTTCACCATGGCCAAGTCCATGCTCACCGACTTCTTCCGCGGCGAGGTCTCGGACAAGATTGACGTCGAAGGGCTGCGGTACTGCGTCGTCGTCACCGCTGACGAGCCCACCACCGCCGCGGACAACAACAACAGCGACAGCGACATCGCCGCCAAGCCAGTCCTCCGGCTGCGCGTGTACACGGTGCGGACGCAGCGGTCGGGCCAGAAGCTCCCCCGCGTCGAGTTGGAGGAGCACGGCCCGCGCATGGACTTCCGGCTGGGCCGCAGCCAGGAGCCCGACGACGCGCTGCTCAAGGAGGCCATGCGGCGCGCCCGCACCGGCGAGGAGCGCACCAAGAAGAACGTCTCCACCGACATCATGGGCGACAAGATCGGCCGCATCCACACGGGCAAGCTCGACCTCAGCGAGCTGCAGACTCGCAAGATGAAGGGCCTCAAGCGCGAGCGGGACCCCCACCTCCTTGACGACGAGGGGCCGGCCGCGGACGAGGAGGCCACGGTCGTGGAGGAGCAGCAGCCGAGGCGGAAGAGGAAAGTCGCTGCGTAGATTGAATGAGGGGGGTTGGTGTGGTGGTGGTGGGGGTGGTAGTAGTAGTAGTGATGGTGATACTATGCTTTTTTTTGTTTGCTCTGGGGGCGGGCAGGCAGGCGTTTTGGATGGGGGGCCCTGATCCAAGCAGGTCGTGGATGGAAAACGGCGTCATTTATTGTTTGTGGTTTTTTATATATGGGTATAATATACCGTATGTACACCTCAACCTTTGCTTGCGTCTGTTGCTCTCGCAGCCGTATCTCCAAACGGTTAGCCCCCCGACGGGTCGATGCCGCCTCTAGCGGTGGGATAATATAACCACCGTGCTACCTAAACCTAAATACCCTCTGTGGGGCTTCGAACTCTCCTTGACTGACGGGGATCCCCTTCGAACCGGACTCAACCTTCTGCGTAGGCCCGGGCGCTTGGCCACGACCGGCGTTGCATCCCCGCCCGCCTCTTTCCGTCTGTATCGTCGCGGCTGTGGTCCGCACTCCCTCATCTGCGTTTGACTTTGGCGCTATGCCGAGTCTTAAAACGCCGGGATAGAAGCTGCTGAACAAGCAGGCGATGAGAGAGGACCCAGCTGGGGGCTCTGAATAACCGCTCCTCATTACTCTCTCGTCCCTGTCCCTTCCCCGCTGTCACCCCTGATTCCCCATAACCGGCACAAACTCCGGCACGGCGGGGATGCTCTGCATGGCACTGTTCATCTGGCTCAGCAGCTCAATATGCCTGACATAGCCGCCGTGGTGGTCCAGCCCTTCCTCTAGCACGCGCTCCTCGGCGTACCAATCCGCGCCCCAGATGTCGGCCGGTATTGGCTCGCTGTTGTTTTCGCCACTGGGATGTTCGTACAGGGCGATGCGCATCGCCCACTCGAGATGCGGCCACCAGGTGCGGTAAGCGTCAGCCCCGAAGAAGTCGCTGTTGAACAACGAGACCACGCCCAGGACCTCGCGCCGTGCCATGCCCTGCAGCCACCAGATTGAGTCCATCGATTTGAGCAGGGCGAAGAAGCAGGCGAGGATGGCGAGCGCGCGGGGCCGCCGCTCTTCAAGGAGTTCGATAAAGCGCCGGGAGACGGTGGCCGGGAAGGCGAGCGGTGCGCCCTTGTGCGGGATCTTATGTGCCCAGTTAAGGACGGCCACGGCGTGTTGGTATGCTTGTCGCGTTGAGTTGACAAGTTCGGCCGCCGCCGAGGGTGTGTTTGGCGGCTGGTAATTGTGGGAGGTAGGCGATGTCGGGGCAGTTTGGGGTGTGGCGTGGGGCGTTGTCGAGGAGGTATCGCCCATAGCAGCGAGTTCCTCGTCCATACCATCGAGTAAATGCCCAAAAAAGGTTTTGGGTCCAGCGGTGAAATCAAGTTGGAGGACAGCTTGGGAGTTGATGACTTGCGTTACTACCGGGCTTACACGAAGGTACTGCCACGAGGCAGCTGTGATCGCCTTGACCCCCTGGAAGGAGTGAAACCACGAGAAAGGGATAGAATAGCACCCGGACGGCTGGTTTCGCTGCCGGCTGGCGCTGGAGTTAGCGTCGTCCCCCGCACCGACCATAACCTCATCCTTCATAAACACCCTAGTAGCCGTAGACTGAAACGCGATGAGGGCTGAGGTTAGGAATAGGGACTCAGCGTTGTTGTGGTCGATACCTTTCGTAAGTGCCGCGCTGTATTCGGCAAGCGAGGCCGCCATATAAGCGTGCGATGCGCGTACCAATTCCTTGTCGTTCGGCACCATACTTCGGAGGTGGAGCGCAGCAACAGCGAGTATGGCGTCCGCCAGATGTTGGGAGCCAGAGAAGGCGAGGTTCGGCACCGTAATCTTCCAAATATCTTCCGTCACCGGCGCGGTGAATGTGAATGTCTTGCATGTCATGGCCGTGTATTGGTGCATTAGTCTTAGCTCGAGCAACCGGTGGCCCGGCGGCGTGGTTTGGGAAACGGCCGGGGTCGACGGAGCTCGGCATAACGGCGTAGCAACGGCGGAAGCTCCGGGTATAACGGATGCATATCGAGAGATCGGGGATCCGAAATTTACGGTCGAGGCAGGCGTCGACGGCGATTCCGTGGCAGCAGCGGTCCGGAGCTCGGCCAGGACCTCGGGATGTTCAAAGTCGCACGGGACGCCATGTTTCACGCAGTTGCCGCATCGCGGATGGATCTCGTCGCACTGTTGCACACATTGTCAGTCGCTTGAGTCAAACTGCTGGGCTATGCCCCCGTATCAAATCACCTTGATCTTGCGCGACTTGCACCGCCGGCAGCCGGACCGGGACTTTTTGTGAGAGCGGCGCGGTGGCATGCTATCGCTGCTAGTGATCTGCTAGCGGCTGAGGAATCGAGAGTGTCGAGAGCGTTTGGTACTCTGTGGTTGGCTTCTTTTGCTCCTCCTCTGTTACTCTGCGGCCTTCTGTGCCGGCACTCGCGGCTCGCTTCTTTCCATACTAAGACACACGATAGAAGAGGCCCAATTGATTGTCACCGACCTCGACGCTACCGGGAGCAAGGGAGAAGAGAAGTTGTGGTCGTGAACGGGACAGAATGTCACTGCTGATTGGCGGTTTTCGGTGGTGACGACACAGCCACAGGCGTTACCAGACGAGGCAGCCAATGGCGGGGATGCCCTTTTGCGGTGGGTCACCAGAGTGGGCAAGGACATCGTGGGAATGGCAGGGGTCTGAAATTGGGGGGTTGAGGGCCCGGGCGCTTCACATGTTTGCTGCTACGGGAGAGTTCGAACGGTTTTTTTCTCCGTCGAGAAGGGGTTCATCTGATGGATGGGGTGTTATGCAAAGCATCGGCAGCCGTTAATTGAAGAACGGGCCGAGTGTTTCCCATCCCGTTGTGGAGTCCGAACTACCACTCCTGCTCGTACCTGACACAAAACGAACCCTCTTAACGGTCAACGAAGGGAATGTGCGACCTTGTCGTTGAGGGCCGAAGCAATCTGCGGCTGCCCTTCTGCGATTGAATTCTGCCTTGCACAAAAACCTACGTTGTTGTTTACTTATCTTGTATCCAGATGCTTCGTTAAAAAACGACAGAGTCCCTCCGTCGGACTGCCCGTCATTCATGATATTCCCTATTTTTAGGCCCAAGACCGAGTTTGTCAGCCCTTCCACCCCGCAAAACCCGGTGTCTCGGAATGCGACGCTGCTCGGCTTCGAGCCCGTTCTCGAATTCAGATCATTGGCCTCCAGATCCGTGTGGTGGCTGGGATGGTCTGTGGCACTGTAGTGGACTTCGTGCCCGCGCGGCTTGTTGCGGCTCTCCAGTTCCACCTCGGTTGGCATCCGCCTGTGATTACACCCGACTCTGACGTCCCCGCGCTGTATCGGCGATTTTCCACCTGCTGTGGGAGACACATGGCTTCCGGACCGGTGTCGCAGGGCTTTACGCTCAGCTTCCTAGATGGGACTTAGCGACGCTCTTCCGAAAAAGACGGTAAGGTGCCAAGTCCGGCATGACGGAATCTGCCCAGTTGGAATGTATCAAAGTAGGTAATAGTTACCTGTGATTCTGCGCCTGACACACCCGGCGGCGCTGCTTCTTTGCAGAGCCGACATTTTCGTCGCCGATTTGAAATCCGGCTGAGCAATCAGCCAACAGCACTCGCCATCCGAAGTCTTTCGAACCAGGGGGGCAGCCGAGCCGGAGTGGACTCGGCATTCATGAACCGAATCCACAACGAAGGGGCGCGAGAAGCATATTTAACACGCAAGGGCGCGCCGTTATGGAAGAGCGGGGACAAAGGAAAAAAAATTAAAACGAGAAAGCGAGAGAGAAGGCGTCAACGAATTGCGGCATTGCATTGCACCATACCCGGGCGAAATCACACAACCCCTCCACGGCCCTATAAAATATTTCTGTGATCCAGACCCCCACGTTTCCCACGTTCCCCAGCGCCGCAAAGACGCCCACGATCCAGCAATTGACCAAACAGAGACGTCGCGGTCACTGAGACCTTGTCGCACACGCATACCCTTTACGGATAACCCACGTCTGAGCCATGACGGCTCATACCGATCAACCCATCACAACGCCGCCGCGCGCCCCGTCGCCGGTTCATGGCTTCGGCACGCTCGCCGTGCATGCGGGGTCGCCGCACGACCCCGCGACGGGCGCCGTGATCGAGTCCATCTCTTTGTCGACCACGTTTGCCCAATCGGCCGTCGGCAAGCCTGTGGGTGAGTTCGAATACAGCCGCAGCAGCAACCCCAACCGGAACAACTTCGAGAACATGGTGGCTGCCCTCGAGCATGCCAAGTATGCCCTCGCTTTCTCCTCCGGTAGCGCTGCGACCACCGTTATTCTGCAGTCCCTGGCTGCCGGCTCGCACGTCATCTCTGTTTCGGACGTCTACGGCGGCACCCACCGTTACTTCACCCAGGTCGCCAAGGCCCACGGTGTGAAGGTCACTTTTACGCCCGAGATCGAGGTCGACATCCGAGACCACATCACCGAGTCGACCAAGCTGGTGTGGATCGAGACCCCGAGCAACCCGACCCTGCGCCTCGTCGACATTCGCGCTGTCGTGACCCAGGCGCACGAACATGGCATCATGGTGGTGGTAGACAACACCTTCCTAAGCCCCTACATTCAGAACCCGCTGGATCACGGCGCCGACATCGTGATGCACAGTGTGACCAAGTACATCAACGGGCACAGCGACGTGGTCATGGGCGTGGCCGCCTTCAACAGCGACGACCTGCACAAGCGGTTGTCGTTCCTCCAGAACGCCCTGGGCGCCGTCCCGTCGGCGTTCGACTCGTGGCTGGCGCATCGCGGCGCCAAGACACTGCACCTGCGGGCGCGCGAGGCCACCACCAACGCCACGGCGGTCGCGCACGCGCTCGAGGCCAGCCCGCACGTTATCGCGGTCAACTACCCGGGACTCGACTCGCACCCGCACCGGGCCATCGCCAAGAAGCAGCACCGCAACGCCATGGGCGGCGGCATGCTCTCGTTCCGCATCCGTGGCGGGCACGCGGCGGCCGAGCGCTTCTGCCAGCTGACCAAGATCTTCACGCTCGCCGAGTCCCTGGGCGGCGTCGAGTCGCTGTGCGAGGTGCCTAGCAGCATGACCCACGCTGGCATCCCGCGCGACCAGCGCGAGGCGGTCGGCGTCTTCGACGACCTCGTCCGCATGAGCTGCGGTGTTGAGGATGCCGAGGACCTCAAGAAGGACGTGCTCCAGGCCTTGGAGCGCGCCGTCGCTGAGACTCAGAATGGGAATGGCGTTAACGGGTCCAATGGGCATTAAGCGGTAGAGAAAAGGTTATGCGGCGTTTTCTTTCCTTTACCTTTATATTTTGCTATGGCGAGGTCATTACCCGCCAGCGATAGACGGCATGGCGCTCTTTTTTCCTTTTTATGTTTGGTTTGGGCCCCGGCTAGAAAGGCTCTACGCCGCATCTTTGCATCCTCGCATTATGCATACATAAGGGGTCCTGTGATGGAGGCCCACAATGGGAACATAGAGAACTTTATGGCTCGCTACGACATCTATGACGACGGACGGGCTTGGGTGGTACATAGCTCAATTCATGCCCACGATTCTTTCATGAAAATACATAGAAGAGTCATGAGCAAAACGTTACTCTTTCTGATACAAGTCCCGTTGAAATGTTGCCCGTGCCACTATACCCAACTCTCCCCAGTCTCCAAACCCCATCAACCACCTGACACAACAGCTCCCGACAGGCAAGAGCACGAGACGGCTCTCGAACAAAGTAGAAGGACTAAAAACCAGCGTTCCGTATTCGTCACGCTCCCAACCCAAGAGGAACAAAACCCGCAATAACTAGTGCAGTTAGCTAGTAAAGCAAGTCCCAAGCCCGGACGCACCATCCCAGCCGGCCCGGCTCTCCCGGGACCTCCGGGCCCCGCCGAAAACGGCAAGGCGGCCGGGCGGCCGACACGCTCACGCCTCGCACCATTTCGCGTCTCCACCTTCCCGATGCGGTAGGAACAGCGGCCTTGGTGCCTTGCGTGCTTTTACCTGTGCGTGACCGTGACCGTGCCCATGCCCCGATGGATGGATGCGACCTGCCTTTTCTTCTTTTATGACGTTCCCCTTGCAGCAACTTTGCCGTTTTCAGATTGATTGACTTTTATTGTCGGACGTCAAGCACAATGACCGGGCATGTGCCACAACGAAAAGCCGGGGCTCCTGACGATCCGAGCCAGATTTGAGACATGGCCGGACTGGCAATAGTTTGACTTGGTTACTCAGTGCGTAACGAACCCCGACAAAAGCCCATCACGCGATGGTGGTTGCAGTCCAAGGCAGGGCTAGCGCTGACACAATTGGCATGGCATGGCACGATCAAGGGCAGATCAACAAGCCATGAAAATCCCCCAAGACAATCACCATTCCCATTGTCAACAGGCACGTGAGGGAGGGAAATAATGTGACACTTCCCAACGGCTCTCGCCGAGTGATTCTGCTGTCCATCAAGCTAACCCTTCCGTTCCTCCTTTTTCGAAAAGGGAAAACACCGGTTTCTTTCCAATTAACTGCTACTGGGTATAACCCCCACAAGAACGGACTTGAAAACAACAAGGCAGAGTCGAAAGCCCCGCCAGGGATGCGCCTCCCATCTTTCCTTTTGAAAATGAAAACAGAAAAGCCCAGGCCGTACCAGACAAACAGGTAGAAGTAGAAAGCCCGGAAACCAATCAACAACTCATTAAGTATTGTCATTGCCCAAGGTAAAAGTATCCCGAACCAAAACCTTTCCATTCTAAGAAGTTCCCCCCAAAACCCCCAAGCCAACCCTGTGGCGAAACCGGACCATGCATTGAACGCCTTGATGTGTGCAAAAATGGCAAAATGGCGGTTATATACGTGTGATGATGTGAATGTAGTTATGACCTTTTGGTCGTCCCAATGTTGTGTAAAAATGCAGTCCAGCCATGCTGAAGGAATGAGTAAAATCGCTGTAGATGTAGATGCAGATGTGAAAGATGGAAAAAGATGTTGTCTCCCATCCAATTCATCCGTGTCGTGTGCGGTGAATCGAAGGTTCGACATATGAAACCCGTGTACAACAGGTGGTGGGTGGTGGGTGGTGAGTGGATTGCGGCATAGACTGTTTTCAAACGTCCATTCCAGATTCCCCGGCCGAAGTTGGCGTGGAATGTGAATCGAACCCGGTAGGAAAGACATACGCCTCTCCGCCGCTGGGCTAGCCACGCGCGCGCATACCGAGGCCATCGACACTCAGTGTCGGCACCTCGACGTCGCTCAAGCCCAGGATGCCCTCGTCGCGCCGGCGGTCGACAAAGCTGTTGCACTCGTTGACCACCAAGCTCCATTCCGCGAGTGCCCGCCCGGCATAAACGGCACCCGAAGAAAACACGCCGGTTGGCCGTTCAGCGCAGACGGCCGGGGGCGGGACATATCCGGTGCTGCCGCCGCCCAAGTCGAAACGGCCGCGATCCAATTCATAACCCGTGAAACTGGATGTCCTGGCCGAAGACTGAATCTCTGACCTCTCCTCGCCGCCCTTCTCGTCATCAAACATGCGAAGAGGCGTGATGTTAATGCTCAACGACAGCCGCTTCTCGGTGTCCCTCGTGAGCGACCGGGTGCGGAATCCATCGTCCACCATGCTAAGAGGCCTGGCGTTCCGGGCCTCGCTAATCAATCCCGTCTGCAAGAGCCCGCTGACCCTCCGCGTCACGGGTGGAAGACCGGCGGCGATGGGAGGTGGGCTCTCGCTGCGGAAGACCGCGGCCCCATGGTTCGGATCGCCTCCGCCAGGGCCCCCCGAGCGAATGCTGACTCGGGCCTGCGCGGGCGCGGGCAACCGAGGCCGGGTGATGACGCGGTCGCGGCTGGGCGGGCATGGCATGGGCGCACCGTTAGGGCCCGTCTGCCAGGTCAGGGTGAAGCGGAAGACGAATGTCGGAGCATCGAAGGTTGGGGCGGATCCGGTTGACGAGTACGACTCGGACGAGGACGTGACGGCAGCCGAGGATCCTTGCTTCGGCGGAGTCGGCGGGCCTAGCGACTGGGGTGGATTCAATTTCCTCCCGCGGCCTGCTAGCCGGGACGCAGCCGTGTCCCGGCGGGCCTGCTCCAATTCTTCCTCCCAGGTGCGCTTCGGCGTATCTGTCGTCGGGCTATCCTGAGACGCACCGAATGGAAGCACCTTGCCGAGAAGCGACCACCTCTTCTTGAACGACATGTTCTCCGCCTTACCGTTGGCCGACGCACCGTCACCGTCGCCATTGCTCGTGATGGGGGCATAACGGTCAAACGGGGAGTCCAGCGACGGAAAAGCACTCGAAGAGTCGAATCCCAGGCGCAAGGGCTGTTGAGGCGGTTGAACCTCGGTCCGGATGATCAAAAATCGCTTACCCGGTGCCGGATACGTGGGGGCCGTCGACGGATGCACACGTCCCTTGGCCTCAGCGTCTTGCTTCAGCCAGAGATAATGCGACCAAACCGTCTTCAGCCGCTGAGACACAACGAGGAAGATTTTTCTGTTTTACCCCTCGTCAGCATAAAAACATCCGGATAAGTGATAAAAGGGCGTCTGCTTACACGTCAACCTCGTTGGAGCTGCCCGAGTCCCTGCAGATGCGCCAGCAAAGCAAGCGCATGTAATAGGCACGAACCATTGGGCACCAGTGGTTGAAGAACTTTGAAAAGACCTCCTCGGACAGCAACCAGTCCAGGCAGACGGCTTCCTTGCGGGCAGGGTCCGCGACGATAGCATCCCAAATCGCGAAGATGAAAGACAGAATGCGGATCTCCGACATGGTGTTGTTACAATCCATGATCATCTTGCCAACGTCAAACCAGAAAGGCCAGTCGATGTAGTTGACCGCTTTGGTAGGGCTGGGCGGCCCGAAATAATCAGACCGCGAATTCGTCGGGGCCGGAGACGTCGCGAAACTCGTGTTCACCGTGGTTTGGAACGCGTCAAGTGCGAGCAGTGTTTCCTCAAGGAAATCACACAGCATGAAACAAGACGCGTGTTCGAAACGCGGCGTCCGCTTGGTGGCGGCCTTTGCGATTGCAACAAAAGCCTCTGCGAACGTATGCTTGATCTCCGGGGCCTCGCTGAACGAGTCATCGGCCAGCATGTCCTTGAGCAGGACGACCAGCCGATTCTCATCCATCCCTTTGAGTAGATTGCTCGGGAGTTGGGGCGCCGTCAGCGAGGCGTCGGCACCGTGCAGGGTGTCAGAGAGCGGTGGCCCGAGCAGGGCATCGAGGGAGGCCTGGCGGTGAATGGTGCTGTCCAAAATGGACAACAGCTGAGCATGAACCAGCACGAAGGCCGGAGCTCGTGCCTTTTCGACCAGCGGGAGTCCCTCCGGCATGAAATCCATGGCAAGAGCGTAAAAGTACTTGCAAAAGATAAATACCAGGTCCGTATCCCCGCCTCGCCACCTCGATACCCAGGGGCCGTGCCAGTGGATCTTAGCAAGCAGCAGCGGGAGCTTCGCAGCCACCCGCAGCTTGTCCCCAAGCGACTTGACCGACGACCAGCCCAGGTCATGCATGTGTGATGGAAACAGGGCTACAATGTCGTCGCTCTCGCCCTTGCTTCTCCTCGGCAGATCGAATTCATCCGCCACCCTGCGCAACAGATCTGCTTTCAAACCCCAGAGCCGGACAAGCACGTCGGAGATGCCCGGTACGAAAAAGAAGGCATAGGCACAGGCCTTGCCACACCAGTTGACCAGGCTGAGGGGAGCGTGCCGCAGTGACAGCTTCTCGACGACCAGCGCCATCTGGGTGGTGAGGTTGGTGACAAACATGGTGCGCACGTTGTGCTCAGCCGACTCGGCAAGGAGCGAATCTGGATCGGTCGTCACGGTCGACTGGGTTCCTGACCTACGCCGGACCTTCTCCCGGGAGCAGCGCTCGACCAGGGGTTGGAATTGGCTCGTACACGCCCTCCACTCGGGGCGCATCATGATCATGGTGGTCGCTTCCAACAGAATAGGCCGGTCCACGCCGGCCACGGGCTGCAGAACTGGAAAGTGAATGCCGAGAGAGGCAATGCCCTGACCGAGGCCAGCCGGTAGCCTCGAGTTTGTGCCGATCAGCATAGCCAAAAGACCATTCCACCACTTGTTCAAGATGGTCGCTCTGCGGTCGACATCCTCGGCCGTCAAGATGGATCGGTTCGAATTGGACGGGTGGTATGCCGTGCTCCGTAGGAACGGTACCAGAATGGACCGGACTACGCTCATCCGCCCGGCTGTCGAGCCCTTTCCGGCGAACTTGGAGAATTCGACGTCGAGGGTCCGGTAGGTCGCCCAGAGCGGGTCTCGCGACGTGGGGTGCGGCATCGTTACAGTCGTGTCGACGGTGGACTGCGAGGTGTTTTCAGAGGCGCTGCTCGCCGTCGCTGTGTCGGTATCCAATTCGGAGTCGACGGAGGGGCTTCGCTGGGAAGATGTGGCCGAGTTGATGCTGTTGTAAGAAGCATTCTTCGGAACGGTTGGAGAGCTCGGGCGGCTGTTCGGAGTTGATACTGGGGGGGTACTGCACTCGGAGTCGCTCGATGATTCGCTCTTCGCGAGGGAAGTCTTGAGGGCAACGGAAGTCGAGTTTCTAGAGAAGACGTTTTGAGGCTTCTGTTTCAACCTCGTCAGATAAAGACTAGCGCGGTTGAAGGCGCTCCTCTTGCCGGTCGGTGTCCCAGCAGCACCCGCGGCGTCAGCTCCCGTCTGCGTGCCCTGTGTCGTCTTCGTGCCGGGTGTCTCAGCGGAGAAGGCGCGGCCGGTACCTCGCAGTTTCTCGAGCCTGCCGGGCGGAGAGGGAGATCTTGACTTGGATATCCAAGACCGTTTCGCAAAGTCGGCAAACGACTCAACGGGCCGGGATCTTTCCGGGGACTTCACCGCCGTTGTGCTCACCGTTGGGCCGGCTACATTCTGCTTGGCCAGCCTCTTGGGTCGGTGCTCCTGATGCTCATGGGTGGTACGGACGTTCGGGGCCGATTTTGAGCCGGGAAGCCACGAGATGGGCCGGTCGACCATTGATTTGCTCCTGTTGCGAACGTGGCCGTCCACCACCGTCCCACCGGCAGTGGTCCTATCCACGATTGCGTTGTCGTTTTCGTACCCGATCTGGGGTGCCCTATCTATCGCCGTGGCGGGCCGGGGGGAGAGATTCTTGATAGTCGTGGTTTTTTGTCGTGGTGGGTGGGGGATGGTTGGTGGTGGCGGTGGTGAAAACTGAAGGTCTTCTCGAACTCGCCTACCAGGTCGAAAGAAGGGATGTCAAAAGAAGCCAGGCGTGGGAGTGGTGGCAGGCTCTTGAAACCGGGGGAGCGATCGACCGGGGCGGTATCAAGGCGGGAAGAAGGCGGGGGTTTGGGCAGGGCACGGTCGGCGGAGCCATGAGCAGCTAACAGATCCGGCGAAGAGTGCGAAACATGAAAGGGCAATGATGATCTGGACTCGACAGCCCATGAGGCCGCCGCAGCACCTGGACCACTCATCTCATGGCACAACCCGCAATCGAAGCCCAAACGAGGCTCTTGCACAATACTATGTACAGCTGCCGTCGGGGTCGGTCGTGGTCCTCACTGGTTCGCTGGTTCGTTCGCGCTGTCGGCAGCCGGTAACCAAAGAGGTGGCCCGGTTGGGCGCACGGCGGCGCAGATTGGGAGCCGCGCGAGCGTCAGCACAGCAGGTCCAGCTCCAGCGGAACGATGACAGGGATGTTGATGTGCTGCTTGGGTGTGAGCTCTGCTGCTGGTTCCTGCCGCTTCAACCGGGCGGGAGGATTGCACTGTTGGCAAGCAGGCAATCAAGCAACCAAGCAATCAGGGAATTTTCCCCTCCGTGACTGCGACGCTGGACACTGGATGCTGGGGTGGTTTAGGTTGGTCCACACACTTGCTCGGTACAAATATCTGGAACAGGTTCCTTCCTTGGCGAACTAATAATAAAATAAGAATTATGAACGGGTCGATGATGACGCCGGTGTGCAGAGCATGAAGAACAAAAGACAGGAAAATCCCTGATGGTCGAGGGAGAACTGGCGCAAGAAAGGGAAGCTGGAACGAAGGGCCTCGGGATCAACGAAAGAAACGTGGGGACGACGGGTTTGGGATCAGGGCGGGCGTGCAGGCAACACGAAGGTTATTAGAGGTCGGTGCAGGCAGCGGGTTAGTGATCGAATCTAAGAAACCTGGAAGTCAAGAAAGAAAGTCAAGAGCGACCGAATGTCCCCCCTTCACCCCTGCCGAGTTTTGTTCAGCTTTGATGACTCGCCGCGTGCTCCGGTGGAGATCTTTGGCGGTCGCGCCTTCGCACCTTGCTGGCTTGGCAGGTGGACAGCGCGCAGTCGAGCTTTTGCTGTGATGGAAATTTTGAACCAGACGACGAGGGCCAGTCCTTTGGCGCATCGGTGTGCGGCAGTGCGGGCGCTAGCGCGATCCCTTTCCTCGCACGTCCCTTGTAGGCAGTCGATGTCGTCGATCCCCAAGACGGGTTGGGTTGATTACGGAGAGACCGTCTGGGTGTTACAGAGTGACCACCCACCAACAACCTCACAACCTTGGAAACCCCTGAGCGAATGGGCGCCATTGGGGCCTGAGAGTCCGAGTGCTGGTTTCTGCAGATTGTGGTAAACTACACTACCTACCTAAAAAGTGCACGCACATACATACAAAGTACACGACCTGACATGCACACAAGGACCGGGGTAGCAATGTGGCTTGGGGATGCATGCAGCAGAGAAAAAGACCGGGACGGGAATATGCGGGCTCGCGAGTTGCCAGTGGTAGGTGGTTATCCGCTTAGAAAGAACCGAGAATGGAATCCTGGGATCGGGACGAACACGCGATTTGGGATCGGAATTGGGGGCTCGGGGCGGGGCGGGGTTGGTGGAACAGCGGCCACGCCGGCAGCACGGGGGGCTCGAGGTGGGGGGGGTTCTCGGGCGGTGAGTATGGGTGTTCCTTGCGTTGGAGGATGCGCTAAAAAATCGCTGGCCGCCAGGGGTTAGGCTATCGTCGCAGAAGCAACACGGCGCCTCAGGGCACCCAGCTATCGTTCGCCAGCCTTGAACGCCACTCGCTGCCTTTTAACGCGAACATCTGCACCATCTGCACCATCTGCACCATCTCAGGCTGCGCGGGCCGCAATACTCCAAGAAAAAGTCTCAGAAAATCCCCTAAACCTTCAAAAACCCCTGCCATCCAGTCCCGAGAGTCAAAAAGATCTCCTTCAAAACGAGCTAAGGACAGACAGGGCATCTCGTCGGTCGGTCAGCAAACGTGGAGAGAAAAAACACCAGATGCCGCGAGGCCCGTTTCCGCGGAGAGACGGCCCTTTCCCTTTCCATCAACGGACCCAATGCCAAGTCAAGATGCTAGTCGAGCTGAGCTTGGGCTCGTGCATCACGCTCCACCTCTCGTGGCATGGCAGCCACAAGGCAGGTAAACAGAGGGGGAAACGGCTGAAGTGTTTTTTTTTTTTTGCTCATGGCGACGTGGCAACCGCACAGCTCTGCCACACCGAATGCGGCTTTTCTCGACGCTTGTCGATGACTTTTCAATGCGGGGGAAGACGTAAAACTTACAGATCTGTCTTGCAGTGCATACAGTCCTCCGTACATACAGATTGCAATCGTGATGGAAACAAGAGATGGCACCCGCAGTTTGGACGCAGATCAAACAAGAAGTCAAATCCGACAACACGGGCTTGGGGCTCGGCGAACGGGTTCGGAATGCCGGCACGGAAACGGATATTCTAGCCGAGTTCAGGCTAGGGATCTTCTCGAAAGAGAATCACGACTCAATCCACCATCTGTCTTCCGTACCTACAGTAGCTCGCCGAACTAGCCAACAAGTGTGGCCAGCGGCGCGGCTTTTGAAACGCCGCTACAATGAGCTGGTCTGCCTTGGTGCCCGAAGGAAAATAGACGGCGGGTACCATCAAAGCGCGCGCCTCCGTTCTGTGATGGGCGTGGGAGCCGGCGTCACGGCGTTGCAGCGTGGAGAGGTAGCGAGCTAACCAGCGTCGCCGGGCAGCTTCGCTCGCTCCCAGACGCGAAGCTGCTGCGCGATGTCGGCGATGTGCTGGCAGGCGCCGCATTTGGCTTGGACCAAGGTCAACAACGGCAGCAAGAAGATCACTGCTAGCCTTTCAAGCAAGCGTGTCAGGGGAGTCCCCGTGTCAGGCGCAGCGTCCTGTCCCCACGAGCGCTAGCTTAACTAGCAAGAGTTCGTCAGTCTCTTCTCTGGTTGTGTACAGTTGCTAACCTTCAAGACCGTTAGTTTCACCGGCGCCATCGCCAAAACACGGGAACTAGGAAACGCCGGCTAACGCGCCCACCCTCCTAAGCCCTGCTCCAATAGGCACCTTTCCGTGCCATATATTGGTCTCGCCTTCTTTTGCCCATGTGTGAGGACGCCACCCAATCCAACTCGGGTCTCCGGCACAGTGTGGGGAGGTCCGCCGCCTCTGCACAGAGCTTACGTATACGCAACGCGTGCACCAGTCTCCTCACACAGGTCTCGGGTCGGGACTGCATCACTTCACTTGCTGTGTATCACCATCACGGCATCGAGCCGTCTGTCGTGCAGCCTCACCGCCTCCGCTCTGCCCTGAGTTGGGGTCGAAGAGCGGGAAGCTGAGACAAGTGGCGGTGGCGTGTCGAACCACTGAACGGAAGGGCCAGAAGAAAAGAGACGAAATACATAACTACATATGTTCCGAATGTCTCAGTCGGTCACGACGCCACTTTGGGCTCAGGTATCTCCGTCCAACGCCACGAGAAAAGTCTGCCCGGTTATAACGCGCGCAATGTCATAGCCAACTCCTTCGTACCTTAGCAAGGACTTTGCGGCATTGACGAATACCTCAAGCGCGTTGGCCGACATCAAGAGTCGAGAGGCACCCTGTCATCATTCGAGGTTGGAATGGTGCAAAGCAACCGGAAGCAAAGTCCCCAGAGCCATCGCGTAGTTCCGCCTTGTTTACTTCCCCTGGACAAGAAGTTGTCGGGTAAATCCACCGCTTTATGTTTTCCCGGCGCATCCCGACTATCAACCAAAGGCCAGTCGCATGCGTACAAGTTACAGGCGCACTCCATATTCTCCTGCCAGTTGTGACGCGTTGATCGGGTTTTGCGGCTGTCGAACGATATACTAGGCTTTGTTGACATCATCGAGTTGTCGATCGCTATCTGCAGAGACAGCTACTAAGACAAAGCATCATAGGATTTTCAATTGTCTCATCTCATTCTTGCCTCTTGCTCAACGAGATAGTTATGCCGCCAGAATATTGACTAGCATAGTGACACTCAAACAAAACAACTAAGCAGGGCGATAGTTAATTTGTAAGAGGCAGTGGATCTGCTGACTCGTTATTTATCCCCAAGCAACTCAACTCAGTGTTGAACCGTACGGACCCGTTAGATCAGTGACAACCTAACCCCTGATCTCAAACCAGAGACTCGTGCAGACTTTAACAACTCCGATTGGCCATTTGGAGTTTCGTCCAAGCGAGAATGTCACTTTCCCTTTTTAATTGGATTAAGAGCCTCGGCAATCCACTTGTAAGGCTGAAGATCGCGATGATCCTGGCGCAAGTGTTGATTCTGACCATCACTCAAAAATCTACGAGAGAGGAATTTCCACTAGTAGCAAAGGGATATTGGTTCTTTTGCTTAAAATCAATACTGAATACTCATACTCTTAACGATTCTAGTTTCTTTCTCGAGGGATTCTCGCTGTTGACGATGGGATTGTGGATCCACTAATTCAGGGGATGTAAACAATGGCCTCCGCCAATCCCGTTCTTCCTGAACTCGATGATGATATCAAAACTGGGAACAACATCGCAACGAATCTTCGAGCTACAAACAGCAATGTTAACATACTGCGTGTTCAAGGTTACCATGTCCTAGAGTATCCTAGTCAAAACTCTCGGTGTCCGAGTTCATAGTCTTCCTCAGCGGCTTCCTTGTCATCTTTGCTCTCGTCGGCATTGTAAAGGAAGACGCGTATTCTCTATTCATCAGTGTGCATTCATCCTATTCAAGGTCAAATGCGAGAAACTGCATGAAGGATTCAAGATAAGAAATCTAAACCTAGCTCATCCGAAAGCACTAGCCTGCTATCTCCTGTTTCCCAGAACCAATGTGGAGGTTGGTAAACTCAGCTTGGCTTCGGTACTTGGTGATTGTTGGTCCGTTATAAGTTAGAGCGGAAATAGGAAAGCGAGATGTGCTAGTTAACATGGTAAATGTTCTATTATTTTTGGGTTGCGAAACAACACCTGCCTCTTTGCAACTCACGACCGAGTGAAGCAAAAAAAAAAAAGAAGAGAAAAAGAAAATTAAAGAGAAGTCCAAAAAGCTCACCACCAAGCTCCATTCGCCGGTCGAATGAAGGTTGGTAGTTACGAAAACTCCGAAAACAGGGCTTTACGCCGCGAGGGGGGGTCGAATCGGTCCTCTTTCGATTGGTGTCCAACCGGTCCTCCTCCCAATACCGCCGAGCCAAACCGATGTTTGACTTCAATTGAGAGGAGGCGGTGACAGTGTGCGTGCGGGAACTTGTATATATAGTGCCGGAAGGTACGAGGAGCAGAATGTGCCTGTGCGGTTGGGATGAGTTCGGATGAAACTCGCCTCTGCCTTGGCCGGCGTTGTCCTGGGGTGGTGACCACGGCTCTTCTCGCGTTGATACGGCTTTCATACAATTGGGAGAACCGTAGTAGGTAGAGAGTTGGAGAGGAGGGAAGTAACTGGAAGTTCCCGCTGGTGTTTGGAGGCTTCGGTACCTCTAGTAGCCAAACTGAGCGGCATCCCACGTAAAACTCACATGCCAATGCAAGAACAGACGGTCCTCCTCAAGTATAACTTTCACTACTAGTACCTGCGACTACCCTCAAACTCTCTCCAAGCAACAAGCAATCCAAAAGAAATCCTCCTTAAAGAAAACCATAACCCGCATTATCTCCCAAACCACAACCACCCCCGACCCCTATCTCTCACCCCCGATCGTCAAAAACCAGAGCCCACATTCCACTCCGCGCGCCCACCACACCAATCTAAGGCAGCGCAACCGGCACACCACCAACGGCGCCACCCGCAACAGTCCCAACCGAGTTCAGAATCCCCTCCAATAGATCCGGCACCTGGCTCGCCGCACCCCCACCCAGCACACCGCCAACCGTACCAGTAACACCGCCCAAAATCCCACCCAGCAAATCATTCAGCAGATTACCAATCGGGCCCTTCGTCAACAGACCCTCGAGCAGGTTCGAAACCGACCGCAGCAGCTCGCTGAGCAGGCCGAGCGGCTTGGCCTTCTTAGCGGCGCCGCCGCCGCCGATGACGCCGCCGAGGATGCCGCCCAGGTCCGGGAGGGCGAGGCGGCTGACGCCCATGGCGAGGGTTTGGTTGAGCTCGGTCATGGGGGTGACGAGGGCGTTGAGCAGCGCTTTGGGGTCGGCGCCCTGGGTTTGGACGAGTTGCTCTGTTTTTGGGGAGGGGGCGGGTGTGAGTGGGGGGGGTTGTTTTTGAGGTTGGGGGGGGGGGGGGGGGGGAGGGAAAAGGGGGACTTACCGATGGCGGCGACCTGCTTCTGGACTTGGGCGACCATCTGCTCGAAGGCGTCCATGTCAATGCCGGTGGGCATGTTGTTGTTGGGGCGCTGCATCTGGTGGTGGCCCGCCATCATGCTGTTGGCGTCAATGTCCTCCAGGGTGAAGGCAGCGGGGGCGGCGGCGGCGCCCATTTGATGGGACTGGACCTCCTGGGCGTTCTGGGCCTGCTCGAAGGGGGCCGCAAGAGCGCTGCCGAGGAGGCAAACGATTCCGAAAGCTTGGACCTTCATGGTGAAAGAGTGGTGTGGTTGTAAGAGGAGAGAGATATTTGATTCTGAGAGGATTCGGTATTGTAGTGGATGATGGTGGCGCTCAAAATCTGGTTTCAGCGGGGGTGGGATGCCGAATACTTATACTTGGACTCTTTGCTAGATGCCTCGAAAGTTTGATCGAGGGTTCGCTATCACCTACCGCTGTGTCCGCCGGGTGTTGCTATGTCCGGGGCGACTCTCGGCGGTCTTGTCCGAGCGAGATTGAGATGTGCTCCCTCACTCGCGACTGCATACCTACGAACCCAAGACTGAGGTTGATAGACATGTAACTTGTCTCCACTCGCTCCAAAAAACCGACTCACGGGTGGCGTTTTGCAATTCAGGGGAGCTGGAATGTGAGTTACCTATGAAGACTGTCTCGAGACCGCGGAGCGGGTCCCACATACCGGTGATGGCATCACTTCGGCGATCCAGCTACGGTTATAAGACAACGAAAACGAATCGGTTGTGCCCTTAGCTAAAGATGTGGGCAGGAGTAATTGTCTAGTGGGACACGGGGAACTCAACGAACAAGCCACGACGGTTCCATACCAGTTCAGGATGATGTGTGATAAAACCTCCACACATCCATTCCAATGACCACAACCCGTCCCCGACAAAGCGTCCGGCTTGCCTCGGCCTCCGGTGATCTCGGTAAGTCGACGGAATTCTCAGGGCGATATCTCTCCCGTTATCTCCCCAGCCTCTGCCATCAACGGCGCGCCTCAAGCCTCCTTCGGGGCAAGAACAATGCAGCTGAAGCGGAGGTCCCGTTCGTCAGCAGTTCCGCCGAGGTTGATAATCCGCTTCAGACCAAGGTCTAGCGCCCTCGGGCTCAGGACATCCTCGTCTTCACCGAGCTCGCCTCGGTCCAGCGGCCCACCCCGACAACCCTCCAGCTCCCAGAGATGACCGTTCGCCTTGACGAAAGCGATAAAGTGACCGGAATGTTCGTGGTCCCCTGGAGTAGGGACTCGCGTACTGCCCATGGCAACCACAGACTTGTGGGCCTCCTCAAACTCCTCGCTATCATGTAGCAGTTGGGCCCGCTCTGGGTGGGCCAAGGGAATGGCATCGTTGCGCAGCTGCTCGAGGGTGCTTCCCGGGGAGGATAAACTTGCGGGTGGCGCCGTTGATGGCGCAGTGCAGGAAGGCGTACGAGCCGCACGCGTCGCCAATGATCTGCTCGAACCAGATGACAGGCTCGTCCCCCTTGCCGGCCGCACCGCCGTCGTAGTAGCTGGCCGGGTCGCCGAGCGCCGCGTCTTCTGCCTCGCGGTCTTGCTTCCACTGTGGGAACATGGGAACGATGACGAGCAAGGCGTACGCCGGACGGGGGATGTGGGCGAGTAGGGCGGGCTCGTCCAGAGAGTAGACATCGTAAAAGGTCAGGTCCTCGGAGAGTCCCATCTTCTTGGCCAGGGCGTTCATTACCTCTGGGTTATTCTCTGCGTGTGACGGAGTAAGTGCAAGGGGCAAGATTGGGTCGGGCAGTTGTTTGTCTCACCCAGCATAATAAAATGTTTTCTCGCCATCTTTCTGTGTGTTCAAATGTAGGCCCCTGTTAGGTTCTGCGGTTCGAGTGTGGTTTGGTTGTTTTGATGAAGCAGCAATTGAGCGAATCTTTAAGTTTTTGAATGGCTACCTACATGGTTGGGTTGAAAGTGCGACGCGTGTAGGCTGGCTGCCTGGCTAAGCTTGGAGAACAGGAGAGCAAACGGATAGCAGCAAACATGAAAATAAAAGTCAAAGATTGGTATTGAAACTTCATCCTCGCAGCCATCCTTTTGGAATATATTAGGTCGTGTTCAGGAAGGGGATCTAAACAATAGCCCGCCATAACCACAGTTACCTAGTCGTCAATAGGCTTGACGAGAACAACAACCGCTAACCTGGAACGGAGACGGTGAGTCGAGTCAAAGGGAATGGCAGCAGCAGGGCAGCAACTTTGGAGAGCCCAGGCGCATTTACACAAGCAACGAGTTTCCCCACCTTCCTAAATAGGTCCTACACGATGCAGCAGCCACGACTTTGAACCTGGCATCGGTCGCACGCCGCACGCCATCTACCGTCTGCTTGGTGAAGCTCGTTAATACAGAGTATGAGAGGTGGCCATAATTACCTAGAGCCCTTCTGATGTGTTTAATTCCCCCTGGATGCTGGTTCATTTGCCCGGAAGATCGCCCAAGTCTGTAAGTGCTAGATGACGTCACAAACTGTCATGGCAGTCTCACGCGACCTCTTTATTCAACTCGATGGACGCTAAAAGAAGAGGAAGAATGGAGATCGGAGCTTAACTTCCAGGCTCTCACTTTCGAGCATGATAGGGGCGACCGTTCCCTTCCCCCCCATCGTCTTACCTCCTTGGAAGGTCGAGATGAGCCGAGTAGGGAGCTTCAGACACTATCCATGAAAGTTCCAGGAACGTGGCAGCGTGGGTTCTTTCAGCTGCAGCACTGATGGGATCCCGTTGCCGAGCTCCTCCCATAACTTACCTACACAGCAAGATCCGGAGAAAACCATCATTGATGCAATTGGTAAGGAAGCAGGGTCTTGTTGTCACCGCGTGGAGAAGTGCTGGCCGCAGTAAACCGACGACATGGCATGGCCAAAGAGAGCTCGATCCCCGCATCCCATTGCATCCAAGAGCGTAGTTAGTTTGCATGGACCACGCAGATACCGAGCACTCCCATTGGCGAAGTGATCATGATTTACGCCTCTCCGGGTCCAGGTCGATGCAGGGACATCAACAGGGACCCAGACGCCTGCCAGTCGCCAACAGTTGCCTTGCCATCATCACCAGACGATCGACTATCTGCGCGGAGATCGAGGGCACCCGGAGGTGGGAATCCGGCGGGTCTGGATTTCCAAGCAGCTGAGTTGCGGGCAGACCATCCCAGCACCCAGCATCTCTTGTTCTTTGTCCTACATATAACCCCGCTCGCTCCTCTCCGCATCCCACCAGAACCCTCTGCCCATCTCTACTATCACAATAGACAGACCTTCCATACTCTCAGAAACAGCCCTACACCAGGCAGCTATCAACACTCTCCCACCCACCAACCCCAATCTCCAAACCATGGCCGACAACCTCCCCTCCGGCACCGAGTTCCGCGCAGGACGCTCCGACTCGACCGCCTCCGCCGCGAGCTCGACCGGCAGCAGCAGCGCCGCCACCGCACCCAGCTGGGCCGGCGTGAAGCAGCAGGCCGCCACGGCCGCGACCACCGCCACGCAAGCGACACGACGGGCGTCGCAGGGCGCCGGGTCGCCGACCTTCCGGCGGCCGTCGCACCCGCTGTTCGAGGGCCTGACGGCGCAGAAGCGCAAGGACGACGCCGAGTCGGTGGCGCGCCGGCAGAGCATGAGCGAGCAGCGGCCGGCGGCGGGGTTTATTGGGCAGATGTGGAATAAGTATGTTTTATTTACTGCTTTGTGGTTGCTCTCCTTTACTCTTTCGATCGTTTTTCTGCTTTTCAATCTCTCTCCTCGGCCGTTCCTGGCCAATACAATACTATACTATACATATATATCCGGACTTTGTGACTAACCTAGGGTCTTTTGTCTAGTTGGGTATACGGCAAGAAGTAACTGCGCCTTTGGCCAGATGTAAGCGCCCACATTATAAAGGGGGTTCGCTCCCTTCTCGGAGGAACCATCAAACGGTCCTTGACTGGATTGGAATTGTGTCTTGGAATGGTACAGGCTTATTGGATGGCGCTCGCAGGCTTTGTTTGATACGGGAGCTGGACGTTTCCCAGAAAAGAACAGATATAAACCATCCCCGCCCAAACCATGAAATAACTGGAGTGGTGCGAGGGACTCGGCGGCCGTTGGTTATGTTGTCATGATATTCCTGTAACAATTTAGCAGACTGCCCGTATCAAATTCTTCTTACCTTCTTTTCGACGGCAAGACGGCGGCGCCAACGGCAATTCGGGCAGGAGTCCCCCAAGGCTCACCCCTTTCCCCTGTTCTCTTCATCCTCTACATTTCCTCATTATACAAGCAGCTAAAAGACGAGCACCCTCACTTGGCTATAACAGGGTTTGCGGATGACACCAACCTTCTAGTATTTGGTCGAAACCCCGAAGCCAATGTCCGGCAACTAGAGGCGGCGTGGGAAACGTGTATACGATGGGCGGACAGTCGGGGGATGAAGTTCGCCCCGGAAAAGAGCGAACTGATCCATTTCAACAAAGGGCGACGGCAGTGGACCGAACAAGTAAACCTTGCCAACCCAAGGGGAGGCACCAGCCCCGTTAAACCAGAAGGGTCTGCCAGGTTCCTGGGAGTCTGGTTGGACTGGAAACTCAACTGGAAGGCCCACCTGGTGGCGGTGGAGAAGAAGCTGAGGACCCAGAGCTATGCCCTGTCGAGGATCGTGGCAAAGACATGGGGGATGGGGCTAGCCAAAGCGCGAGAAGTGTACACAAAGTGCATCCGGTCGGCGCTGGCCTATGGCGCATCATCGTTTCACATCCCCACGGATGTGGGAGGCGAGCCGGCAAAGAAAGGCATCACTAAGGCCCTCGGGAAGGCCCAGAACAAGAGCTTGCGGATTGTGGCGGGAGCCTTTAAGTCTACCCCCATCCGTAACCTCGAGACAGAGACATGGGTACCACCATTAGACTTGTACCTAAACAAACGGCTTGCAGATTTTGAGAACCGACTCCAACAACCCGATCTGGACGACGGTCGAGGCGGCAAGAAGACGGCGGCGAGCGTTGTCCTCACCGCCTGCCGCAAGATTCAGCAGAGACTTAGCTCGAGGAGGGGCAACAGGGGCCGACCGCGAACCTTGGGACCTCAAGGGCCTACGGCGGTGGAGAGAGCCGCGGGCACGGTCATGCGCTGGACGGGGGGAATCGTTGATACGAACAGGGTAGTAGAAGAGGCTTGGAAAGCGAGGTGGTTAAAGGAATGGGACGGCAGGGCAATCACCAGGCCGGCGGACGACTTTGACCATCAGCAGGAGACGCTATTCCGGAACGAAACCCTAAGGAGGCACGACGGTCTCAGCAAGGCAAAGAGCTCACTGCTGATTCAAATCCGGACGGGAGCGATAGGCTTACGGGACTTCTTGTTTACACGGGAAGTCCCGGAGGTTCTGACTCCTGCCTGCGAGTGTGGCGAGGGACGAGAGACTGCCGAACACCTGGTAGTGTGGTGTTTGGCCCCACCGTTGACTAGAAGATGGGAGAGAACTGGAATTCGGACACGACGGGACTTTTACTCTGTTCTACACGGCATCAATCCCACGACTGCACGGCTCGCGAGGAGAGTTCTCGACTGGCTGATGGACTCGGGGAAGCTGCCGATGTACAACTTAGCCAGGAGGCTCGAGCTGGAAGCGGCGGCCTGAAGCGCCCCCGTTCGGAGGCCAGGAGGCCTCCTCTCTTTGTATATGTAGGCTCACTAAAACGCATCGCTCCTTGATTGTTGGTATGGGTTTTTCACCCGGCCCGGGAGGGCACGGTTTTCCTGTACACTAAATAGCTGAGGGTCCGGCACGCCCTAGGGCATAGCGGAGTATGAATAATAATAAATTCTTCTTACCTATATTGAACGATCACATTCCATCGGTCTCCCGAGACGTAACTCTGAACATCGTGTCTCGACGGCGATTACCGACCTAGAGAGCAGCATTATCAGCCAGCAGGCAAACAATTCCGTTGATTTGATCCAGAACCAGGTATCGGGGCGTTTCCATCCACGGAGATAGGGAATTCGGAACCGGCACAGTCGGGGTAGAGTGGTGGGACAGACTAGGGGCATGCGTGGCATGCGACGGAACGTGAAGGCGAGGCTAAATGCATGCGGGTAGAGGCATCACGGGGAAGGGAGCGGGTGATACGATTGTGCAAGGGCGAGGGCATGTGCAGAAGTGAAAGTGAATCATTAGAAGGCCGCGGCGTGAATGCTATGACCCGAGAAATACCACCCATGACTGATCTGGGTAGAGGACTAGAGAAAATACCCTGATGATTTTCTGCTTCCACTCCCTAAACAACCCAAACGCCGACGAATACCGAGATAATACCGCGGGACGAACTCGAGCCCGCCGGGAATTGACTAGATTCGGTGTTTCTCGCTTTCTGTTGTGAAGCCTTATTAGCGATGCTGGACTTGAGCTGGGTGGCTGGGCTGCTGTTCTCGGAGCTTACCGAGGCGAGAGTAGAGCATGTAGAGCGCCATCCGGTTGCATTCCTCCGTGCCAGTGATTGTGACGAGACGCTCGTTGCTGTTGTCCTGTGGTTCATTAATCTTAATCACGCTGCCACTGATCTGACGGATCTCGTTGATCTTCTGGCCGCCTTTTCCGATGATGGCCCCAACCATGTCATTGGGGATGTAGATCTGCTGAGTGAGGGGGCCACCGGGCACTGCTGCGCCGCCAGGCATGGGTTGCCCATGCGGCCCGGCGGGACCATGAGGGCCGGCGGGCCCAGCAGGGTGAGGCTGCACGTGGGGACCAGCTCCATAGCCACCAGCGGCAGCATGGCCTCCGTAGGGCATGGGGGCAGCAGGGTTCGGGTGAGGCTGGTGAGGGTGGCCGTACTGGGGCGGGTACGCCTGGGGGGGCATGTGGTGGGCTCTAGGGTCAGGGCGACCGCGATGGTAGTTATCCCGGTTGCCAAAGTTGCCGCCAGCCGGCTGCGGGTTGTATGGGATCACTTGCATACCGCCCGGAACTGCACCGGCGGGACCGCCGCTGCGAGTCGCGTAGGCAGAGGCCGACGCCCCACCAAAACGCTCGTTGAGCTGCTCTAAGAGAGTGCTGCCGACGTAATAGGTGGCAATGTGGACGGCATCAGCCACGCCCATCACGACGAGCGAGCGCTCGGTAGACAAGGGGAGGCACGAGTCAGAAGCATTAAGACGGGCACCGGACGCCTCCTGGATCTCCTTGATGCGAGCCCCGCCCTTACCGATGATGGAACCGATCAGGATGTGGGGGATTAGCAGACGAAGGGGATATGTCTTGGAGTGTTGGCTGGAGGGCTCGCCCAGAGGTTCATTATTGAGCGTCCGGATGATCAAGCCGAAGGCCTTGGGCTGGGTTAGTGGTTTGACACTTGTGGGGGGATTCGGCGACGTACCTTCGCAACAGCATCGACGATGCCGCTCACCGTGAGGATGCGTTCCACGGCGCCCTTTTGGTAATCACTAACGGTGCACTTGGCGCCAGACATCTGTCTAATCTTGGACACATTCTCACCGCCCTTCCCAATAATGGTTGCAGCCTCGGGACTCGAGATCACAGCGCGGACATGTATCCATGCCGTCTCGTCGTGTGCGCCTGGTGGCGGGCCCGACTGTTGGGTGACGCTGGCGGTGCTGGTGATGGGCTTGGTCTCAGGCGCATCTGGAACGACGGTATCGCCCTGGGCGTCCTTGACCTCGGGTTTCTCCCCGTTCGTCTTGGAAGTGCCATTGGCCTCAGAAGCCGGAGCGGGGGCGGGAACTTCGGGAGCAGCAGGAGCGGTATCACCGTTGCTGCCAGAGATTGGCTCCTGGACCTCCTCCTCGTCTTTGACCATCTTGTCGAGGGCCGGTCGTTTGGCATCGGGCTGATCCGCGACCGAAGGAGAGGACGTGTCCTCGAGGGGCCGCTTGGCGGAGTGTGTTGGTTGAGGTGAGGCGGACATGTTGGGCTAGATCTGAAGAGAATTTCACGTCGCGTGGGGGTATATTTTGTCGGAACACTCGATGTTCTCAATTGAATTTATCGTAGTTATCTACACCTTAGGGGGTTTTCGAAGGAAAACGTGCAGGTGTAGTGGTTGGGTCGGGTAGAGTGATGGTGCTGGATTGGGTCGGGTTGAAGGTTTATGCTCGGGGTGGGTCGAGGAAGTGACAGAACTTCGGGCCAAAGAACGGGGTAGTGATGGCGGAAGAGACGAGAACGCTGCGGCTAGAAGCGTGGAGGTAGTGATGGAGAAAGTCCAAATCCCGATCGACGTGTTGCTGCGCAGTGTGCAGAGCAGCAGTGATGGCGACTTGTCCAAGGAGAGCGCGGCAGGCGAGAGATGGAGGTTGGGTGGGTTGGAAGAAGGGAGGACGAGATGGTGCGTCGGGCGGTGAGTTGCAGAGATGGTGAGGTAGGGTGGATGAATTTGAGAGGTAGGAGCGTGCTGAAATGAAAGCAAGCTGTGTTGCGGGGAGCCCTTCACGTAACTCAAACCTTTGCCTTGTCCAAACAGCAAACACCACCTAAGTTATCTGTTCCAAGCTACCCACTTTGCGCCGGCTGCCAGCTGCCAACCTGGCCGGTGCGATAATCAGCAATGCGATATTGCTCGTCGTGTTGCCGGAACGAGATGTTGAGGTCTGGGAGGTTTTGGTCGGGGAGATGGAGGATTGGGCTCGGTGGCGAAATGATTGCGCAAACCCGGATCGCGAGGGCTTATCGCTGGAGTCCGTCAAGATAAAAACACGGAAGGTAC